ACACATTGGATGAAATTTAAAGCTCGGGTCTTCCGCCGAGTGACACTTAATAAGCCGGGATAGATATTCCATGCAAAGTACAAAAAGGAAAGGTGATAGAGGGTTGCCTTGCCTTAGTCCACGCGCTCCTTTGAAGTGTCCTTTGAGGCATCCATTAATGGATAAGGAATATGACGGGGTAGTGACGCACTCCATAATCCACTTAGTGAACATCGGGGGAAAGCCCAACCCCTCAAGCATTTGTCTCAAGAATGACCAAGAGACGGAGTCAAAAGCTTTCCGGAGATCGATCTTAATTAGGCATCTCGAGGAGACTCTTTTCCTCAAGTATTGACGAAGTAGTTGTTGCATGAGGTGAATGTTATCCGTCATACTTCTTCCCTTCACGAATGCGGCTTGGGCTTCGTCAACAATGGAGTCGAGGACCTCACTCATTCTCTTAGCAATGATTTTGGAGCAAATCTTGTAAACCGTGTTGCAACACGCAATTGGCCTAAAGTCCGTTACGCGAGAAGAGTGGGAAGACTTAGGGACAAGCGTAATTCCGGTGTGATTCCATTGCTAAAGTATGGATCCGGACCGGAAAAATTCTTTGATTGCCGCAATGAGGTCCTTGCCAACAGCATCCCAACTCTTCAAGAAGAAGGTAGAGGTGTATCCATCGTGACCCGGGGACTTACCTCCTTCAATTCCTCTTAGAGTTGTCTTGATCTCTTCTTCGGTAACCGAGGATATTAGGGAGTTACATTGGTCGGGGCTAAGTGTTGGCCCCGAACTAAGAATTAGAGGGTCGATATCCTCCGTTTGTATCCCGATCCCCAAAAGTCCTTCATAGTATCGAATAAATTCCTTTGCCACATCTTCCATAGAGCCGGTTAATGTTCCATCCTCACGAGTTATCGATGCAATATAATTCCTCTTCGTTCTCTTCTTGACCAAGCCATGATAAAACTTTGTACATTTGTCCCCTTGAATTTGAAAGTTGCATTTGGCCTTTTGTTGGAAGAAAGACTTTTCCGCTTTGGCCAAGTTGAGAGCTTGGAGTCTAAGAGGCCCCAATTTAGACTTAATACCGAGGTCATCCGGTTGGTCGTGGAGCAATTGTTGAGCCTCTTTGAGTGCATCTTTTGCTTCCTTGGCCCGAGTAGAAATATGTGAGAAGGATTTCTCATTGAGTACCTTAAGTGCATTCTTGAGATTCTTGAGGTTGTTCGAGAGCCTATATTGCCTCGATCCCTCCCCAACATGACTCCACGTGCCGGTTACACATGGTAGGAAGTCCTCGTGCAACGACCACATATTAAAGAAGCGCCAAGGGGTACCCCCATTAGCTTCGGCTTCGAAAATGTTAACAAGACAAGGTGAGTGATCGAAAATTCCCGGTGGAAGGAATGAGGCATGCGAAAAGTGGTCGGCATTCACCCAATTTGGGTCCATCATGGCTCTATCAAGCTTGGACCATACATGACTATTTGTCCAAGTGTAAAAGAAGCCACTAGAAGGGATATCGGTTAGGCCCAAAGAGTCACATAACTCAACAAGATCCATGGTGTCTCGTTTGGTAACTCGCTCTCCTTTTATTCTCTCTTCCGGCTTAAGAATGGCATTAAAATCACCAAGTATCAACCAAGGCAAGGAACTACTACTCCGAGTAGATTTAAGATCATTCCAAAGTAGTTTCCTATCTCCTCTCGAATGGAGACCATACACAAAGCTAGTGTGAAAAGAGATATTGCTAACCTTGCAATGGATTTCCAAGAGGATGACTTGTGGCAAGGAGCTCTCCACCTTGATATTCACTTTCATAGGGTTCCAAAGGACGGCAATTCTTCCACGGTTAATAGTATGAAAATTATCGCAAAAGTCCCAACCCGGCAACCTTCTTTGCATTAAGATAGAGAGTCGCCTATTGACGGTCTTCGTCTCCAATAGTCCAAGTACGTCTATATTATTCTTCTTGAAGAGGCTAGCTACCTCATCTTGTTTTATGGGCCCGTTAAAGCCCCTAATGTTCCAAGAGGCAATAATCATTGGGAAGAGGAGGGGTTTCCCCCTTTCTTCGGTTGCACGCTTTTCCCGGTCTCTTTTCTTGTGTTCGGTTTCTCCTTGGCCTTAGTTGGTTGGTCCATTATCGGATTATTGTTCATCGAGCAACTTCTTGTGTGCCTTCTATTTTCCACCTTTTGAAACCCGTCATCGTCCGAGTTTTCCTTCGGTTTATCTCTTCCTTCGGGAGTGGATGAACCGGTTTTCGAGGAACTCACAATTTCAAACGGGCAAGAATTTGAATCCTTGCTTCCTTCCTTAGTACTCTCTTGCTTAGAGCTACTACCTTGACTCGCTTGTTTGTCATTGTCACTTTCTTTTGTAGCCTTTGCTTTCTTCTTTTCGGGACCATTGGTTTTGGTGTAATTCTCCTCCACTTTTTTCTCCAAGTGTCCCTCCTTCACAATTTCCTCTGGCTCCTCATTCACTTTCTTTCCCTTTTTGTGTGCCGCATACTTTCCACATTTGGAGAGGGAATGTCCAATGTAGTTGCAATGGGAGCAATAATGGGGTACATATTCGTACTCTACCTTTTGCTCGAACAAAAGTCCTTCCTTGCCTTTGACGGGGACGCTAAGTGTTCG